CAATTCTTAATAAAAATTCAAGTAAATACCATTGTTCTAAAAATCGGCCTAGGCGGTGGAGAACTGATGCGATTTAGGCCAAAACGTGCATAAAAATTGGGTAAAGACGGCCGCCTAGATGGGTTAGGCAGCTAGGCGGTTAGGCGGTTCTATTGTTTTTAAGTTTTTTTTTTAATTAACTTAAAGGGTTTTCTGGGTAACCTCTACTAAAAAAAACCTAGATCATGAATTAGTGAATTTTCAATTTTGGTTTTGGGTTATGCTTACTTTTACTGCATTAGTCTCTAATGATGGCTATGCCATGATGATCTAAGTTTTAAGTTTTAAGTTTTCTAAATTCTCAATACAAGTATAATTTTTATTTTTTAGAGTGTAAGTAGGCACTTATTTATATGTTATACAATAAAATTAATTAAATCCGCCTTGTCTACCTAGTTGCCTAGACGTTAGGCCCCAACCCTCCACCCGACTAGTGCCTAGCGTCTTTTAGAACCTTGATAGATATTGAAAAAGCACTTTTAAGTACTTCATGTAGGAAGCACATATTTGGTGCTTCTTCGAAAACCCAAAATCAATTTTATTGAAATCACTTTTAATCATTTTAAAAACACTTCTAAATGAGTCATAAATGAAAGTTAACACAACTACTAACAACTAGATATTTCCTATTCTGACCATAACTTGGGACCATACAATCTTAATAATAGCGACTTGAAACAATATCATAGTGGGACTAAAAATATTATTGTATTATAAATTTTGCATACCCCCTCTAAGGGTTGTTTGATATTGATGTGTTTTGAAAAAAAACGGATTCTGTTGTGCTATGAAAATAAGCTCATTTTTTCTGCTTCACATTTTCATTTTTTTTCTTCACCCAAAACTGTGAAAATAAGTTGCTTTAAGTGTTTACCAAACAACTTTTTTAGCTCAGCTTTTTTTTATACCCACTTTTTATAAAAGCACCTCAGTACCAAACCAGTACTAAGGGCTGGTTTGGTATTGCTGTGCTTTGAAAAAAAAATGTTTCTACTGTGTTGTGAGAATAAGCAGCTGTGAAATAAAGCAGCAGAGTGTTTGGTAAATTTTTTTGTAAAAGTGCTTTTGGAAAAAAAAAAAGCAGTATGATAGTGTTTGGTAAACTTTTATGTAAAACAAATGTGACTGTATGAAATAACCAAAAAGGATATAAAATGAGTATAATGTTTTTGTTTTTTTTTCTTTTTTGTTAAAGGTAAACTTTATTAGATTCTAATAGAAACATTTACATCTTGCGCAAGAATATTAAATAAAAACATCAGACCAATTGCATCCCAACGAAAAACACCTCCATGTGAGGCCACATATGAGGCCATGGCATGCGCAACAGCATTTCCACACCACTTAACAAATCCAAACCTCACCCTTCCAAATTAAGATACCAGAAGATGTATATCATGAATAACGCATTCCAAAGTAGCATCGATCACGTACTCTCCCGTAAGCATTCGAATAAGAACATGAGAATCAGATTCAAGTTCCACATCCGCATAACCCAACTCGCAACAGACCCACAAAGTTGCACGGATAACAACAGCTTCTGCCATTGCTGTCGAGTGAAAGAATAGCCCCCCTTCCCCACCAGCAGCTTGCAACAAGCCAGCGAAATCCCGCAAAACCCATCCATCTTCATTTATTAATAATCCATGTCTTCTATTTATTAATAGTCTCTCTAGAAGTCTCCTATCTTTCTTTTATCCATTTTCATTTGTTAATCATCTGTGTAGAAGTCTCCCGACTCTCCCCCACTCCCCAATTTTCTGTCTTTATTTTTTTTTTCTCTGTTTCTTCTTCATCTTTTTTGTTTTCTTCCTTCTTCTTCATCTAGTCGACATGGCAACTACCATTGGAGCAAGACCGCTTCGCTTCGCCCTCCAATCCTCTGCGGACGATGGATAACGGAGGCAGCAACTCAAGTCCAGCCTCGTTTCGCTTCCCGTTGTCTCCAGTCTAGCCTCTCTTCCTCTCGCTATCTCCAAGTTGTAAACTTTGAAGAAGGAAAAAATTGAAGATGGATAACGAAGGCAGCGACTTAATCCTCTTCTTCCCGCTGTCTCCAGTCCAGCCTCTTTTCCTTCCGCAAGCAGTGACTCAAGGTTATCTTTTCCACATCCTCCTCGTTTTCTTTTTTCTAATTTGAAATAAATTCAAAGTTGTAAACTTTGAAGAAGGAGAAATTGAATTGTTGTTGTTCTTTTTGTCTGCAGATTCTTGAAGTAGCAAAGGAAAAATGAGAGTTTTATGCTTTTTTTTTTTTTTTTTTTTTTTTTTTTTTTGCAATTATTCTGGTGGGTTTCTGTGTTTCCATTTCTTGTGCAGATCGGCAAAGCCATTTATGGTGGGTTTTTGTGTTTCCATTTCTTGTGCAGATTGGTAAAGCCGTTTCTGGTGGATTTCTGGGTTTTGTGGAGATCGGCAAAGGAGCATTGTTTCTGGTTTGAGGGTGTTATTGGACTTTAGAAGGTTTCATTAAGGGAGCACTGTAGCTCCGCTTACTTTGAAAAAAAGCTAGTTTTCCAAAGCAGCATTTAGCTGCTTCAACTTTTTTGATGATTTCAACTTATTCTCACAGCAACTTCCAAAATATTCTCTCTTTTTTTGAGTTTAGCAAACACCTTCAACATAAAAACTCTGAAAATAAGCAGCTTTTTTTTTAAGCACCTCAATGCCAAACCATACCTAAATCTAGGGCTCCAATTTACAGGTACTCCAAAAAGCTAACACGTGAGAAGAGCTTGATTACCTCCAACACAATGAGAGTGGAGCAAGTGTCCTACATGGTATATACCATTCTGCTAGTGGCAAGCTGGTACAATTTGCCAATGCTTTTGTTATAGGTGGTAGATTTGTTCAGTTAAAAATTAGGGTAAAGTACAAAAAACTACCTTAACTATTGATGTCATGACACTTTCATACCTCATCTTTTAAAATTGACAATGTCATACCTCATCTTACAAATTTGTGTCAATGTTATACCTTCCGTTAGCTTGGCCGATTATTTCTCAGTTAAATACTGATGTGTTTTGATCCAGGACCCAATTTTTATTAAAAAAATTATTAAAAACTAAAAAAAAATCATTTAATATTTTTTAAATATTAAAATAATAAAGAAAAGTTATTTAAAAAAAAAAAAAACCAACATCACAACATTAGTTCGTCCCCTTCCCCCCTTCTCTCTCTTCTCCCCATCTTCATCTTCTTCCCCCCTTTTTGCAACTGCAACCCAGAAAAATAGAAGAGGAAAAAAAAAAAAAAAAAACCAATTTGTTTTCCCCACTCCCCACCCTCTCTTCTCCCCGCACCTAACCTCCCCACCTTCGCATCCACCCTCTGCACCCAACCTTACACCCATTACCTGCAACCCAAAAAAAAACCTAGATCCCGTTGAGGTGGAATCGGGAAACCTTTGCTAGGCCGATTTCGAAGGTTAAGAACTTGGGCGCAGAGAAAATGGGGGGGAATGGGTGTGGAGGGAAGAGGGTGGGTGCGCGCGGGGGGTGGGGGGGGGTGGAGTTGGGGGACGGAAGAACTGGGTTTTTTTTTTTTTTTTTCCTTCTCTCTTCTTCTTGTTCTTGTTTTTCTTTTGCAAGGTGGATGGGTTGGTATTTTTGTTTTTTTTGGGGGGGGGGGGGGGGGGGGGGGGGGAAGGGAGGATGAGAGTTTCCCTTTTTTTTTATTTTTTTCCTTCTTCTTCTTTTTCTTCCTCTTCTTCTTTCTTCTTCTTCTTCCTCCTTCGGGTTGGGTGGGGGTTGGTTTTTTTTTTTTTCCTTCCTTCTCTCTTCTTCTTCTTGTTTTTGTTTTGCAGGGTGGGTTGGTGGGTGGGTATGTGTTGTTTTTTGTTTTTTGGGGGGGGGGGGGGGGTTTCTTTTGCAAGGTGGATGGGTTGGTATTTTTGTTTTTTTTGGGGGGGGGGGGGAAGGGAGGATGAGAGTTTCCCTTTTTTTTATTTTTTTTCCTTCTTCTTTTTCTTCCTCTTCTTCTTTCTTCTTCTTCTTCCTCCTTCGGGTTGGGTAGGGGTTGGTTTTTTTTTTTTTCCTTCCTTCTTCTTCTTGTTTTTCTTTTGCAGGGTGGGTTGGTGGGTGGGTATGTGTTGTTTTTTGTTTTTTGGGGTGGGGGGGGGGAGGACGACAGTTTCTCTTTTTTTTTTTTTTTTTTCTTCTTCTTCCTCCTCCTTCTTTCTGGGTTGCAAGGGGTTGGGTTTGTGGTGGGGGGAGGGGGGACAAACTAGGTTTGGTTTGGGGTTTTTTTTTTTCTCTTCTTCTTCTTCTTCCTCTTCTACTTCCTCCTTCTTCTTCTTTCTGGGTTGCAGGAAGATGGGGAAGAAAGGGAGAGATGAAAGGAGAGGTTTATTTTTATTTTTTTTATGTACTTTTTTCAAATATTTTAATAATATCAAATGATTTTTTTTAATAATTTTTTAATAAAAAATGGGTTCCAGATCAAGCCAACGTCAGCATTTAACTGAGAAATAAACGGTCAAACTAACGGAAGGTATAACATTGGCATAATTTCTAAAGATGAGGTATGACATTGTTAATTTTAAAAGATGAGGTATGAAAGTGTCGTGACACCAATAGTTGAGGTTATTTTTTGTACTTTACCCTAAAAATTAATATGTGCTGAAGATATTTCTTTAAATTTAGATATAGGTCAACTTTTTAACAAGAAAAATTTGAAAACACTCTAATTTAGAGGAGAAAAAAAAATATCAAACTTGAATGAAAGAGAGCAAAAAAGTCGTGATACATAGACTGTGCCACTCATCACTCCTTAAACCCTAGCAAATAAAAGGAATCTTGGTAGAGATGGAGTCAATGGACTTACACGATTTATGTGCTACGTGTGAGTCCTGGTGTGGGTCCCACAAGGCACTCAAAGATCCTTTCCCTACATCCTTCCTTCCTTCCCTCCCTGTCTCTGTGCCAGCAGTGCACCACCTTATATAATGCCCCCGTCCACCATGTGTGTCATTGCCAGAGCTAATTAAGCATTTTAACCACCAATTGCTTCCAATGGCTATCTGGCAAAGCCCCATTTCCTTCACTACCTAGCAAGCGAACCATATCTCACCAAATCAATACAACCTAGCCAGCCCATAAACCCTAAACAAAAACCTATTTACGTACCATTCCTACAATTAGCAGTATCAACCAAACCTGATCAGTTAGCTGCTTAGTTAATCTTCGCTTAATTAGCTGCCTCTCATTAGCCTCCTCAAGTGTTCTCTTTCCTGAGGTGAAATGGGCAACGCAGACTACGAGTGCCCACGCCATGTCGAAATTCCTCCTTCCAAGCCATTTTTCAAGGCTCTGAAATCATCTCTGAAAGAAACTTTCTTTCCCGATGACCCTTTCAGGCAATTTAAGAACCAACCCACACCTAGAAAACTTGTTCTAGGATTGCAACACTTTGTGCCAATCCTCGAATGGGCTCCTCGCTATACTTTTGACTTCTTCAAATCTGATCTCATTTCTGGAATCACCATTGCCAGTCTTGCAGTTCCTCAAGGGATCAGCTATGCAAATTTAGCAAACTTGCCCCCAATTATTGGCCTATGTGAGTACCCAAAAAATTATGTGTAATCAAACATTTTCTTCTTACACCAAACTTACGTTGCCAAATTGTGAATCTGGTCAGTTATGCATTCAAGTAAGAACAAACAAGACCAATGCTCTAGTCTCATAGTAAAAACAAAAGTACGTACTTTATGATGGAATCGTGTTCAGAAAAATCTCATTTCTGTCTTTTTTGGAAAAATGAATGCAGATTCGAGCTTTGTGCCTCCATTGGTGTATGCCATGCTTGGAAGTTCAAAAGATTTGGCAGTGGGTACTGTGGCGGTTGCATCCCTTCTCATATCTTCCATGTTGGGGAAGGTTGTTAGCCCTACTGAGAACCCTAAGCTCTACTTTCAGTTGGCTCTCACCTCTACCTTCTTTGCTGGAGCTTTCCAGGCTTCTCTTGGCTTCTTAAGGTATGTAATTTAATTTGCTGCCAATTCATATTTGTTACAAAGTTCTGATATAAGCAAAATGAAAAAACAATCAAGAAGCAACCCCTCTGAAACGATGTTTGTATGTACGTATATGTGTATTTGCAGACTTGGGTTTGTCGTGGACTTTCTGTCTCATGCAACAATAGTGGGTTTCATGGGTGGAGCAGCCACTGTTGTATGTCTCCAGCAGCTTAAAGGGGTACTAGGGTTGATTCATTTCACTCATGAGACAGATGTTATATCTGTCATGAAATCTATCTTTTCTCAAGTGCACAAGGTATAAAGTTCTCTTTTTAATCTAATCTATTAATTTCTAGCTAATGCTTTACAACTTCCACAAATTTTGGCAATTTTTTTACATATGCCTTTCTGGACATTATTAGTTAATATCATATAATGAATGTAAATTATGTTGCAGTGGAGGTGGGAAACTTCTGTGCTGGGATGCTGTTTCCTCTGCTTTCTATTGCTCACAAGATACTTTGTAAGTATATACACCACGTACCTTTCTGAGATATATACAATCCATTATTCGAAGCATTATATCTTTGTTTATAATTGATCATTTTCTCTAAACTTGAAGAAGGATTTAAGGAATTATTTCCATGTAAAAACTTTTCATGCATGTCGTTTACTGGCTTGCCAAAACTAATAATTAAGACGTCACCAACAGTACCAACGCCAGTTATAGTTGCTTCAGTTGTTTCATGAACCATGTAATTAACTCCATCGATCTTAAGTTAAAAAAGGGTTTATTGAACCGGAAGAACGTTGTCAAACAAGATATATTCTTGTTGTGAAGTGATATATATGCACTCTCTTTTCCCAAATGCTATATATTATGTGACCTCTTCGGACACACAACATCTAGAAGTTAAAAATTCATATACATAATATTCTTTTGTCTGATTGTTTACACATCAAAAGAGACTTATATTAACATATTTATAATTGGTGGATTGCCCAAGTGGATAAGACATCTTTTTCAACTCACTGGGATTCAAGTTCAAATCATTTTCCTTCTCTTAATCTTGATAATCTTTCATTATAGTAAATATAATATTAACATATTGTGAACGATAAATTCTAAAAAAATCGATACTTAATTACCGGTACAGATTCACAGTTTAATAAACATAATCATAAGTTTCTTAAAAGGATATGACAGTTCGTATACCTGAGATGCAAATAGATTTTGAAGTCCTAAACTTTGGATTTAGCACCTTTAGCATGGAGATGGTCTCACAACCTAAACAGCCTAAATATCTTCACCTTTAGCATAGGTTAAAGTGTCTCAATATCTTCACTTTTCTCTTCTTTCTTGTCTGTTCAAAGGATAACCCACTGCTGTTTCAATCCAGTTTTCTCACAATGTCCATTAATTCAACTTATAAATCACTTCAAACACTATATGTACAATTAAAAAACGCTAAATTTTTGCAAACTAAGAAAATATTTTGAATACCTCAATGCCTGGGTTGATTTGGTGGAGAAATAGCGATTTTTTTAGAAATTTTTCCTACGCCGTTCCCATTCTCTCTGCTTCGATGTTAAATTTTGGTTTTTTATTTTTTTCTTACTAGGTGTAAAGATAAATCTACTTATTGAATTGGGTTTGTGAGAGTAGTTTAGGTAGTAAATTTGAGTTTAAAGAAATATTGATAGTTTAATTAAAATTAATATAGGTGTAGAGAGTAAATTAGACGGAAAGATTATATGGGTTCAAATAAAATTTTCATAAAAAAAATTACTAGTCACCATGTCTCAGTTTAAATTAGCAAAATAGAATATCTTAGAATAGTATAAATTTCTCTCCATGCATGCCCATGACTAGTTAATTCTTGCCTTACATTGGGATTAAAATGGCTATCTTTTTTGTACCCAAAAAGAAAATTGCTTATTTTATCGGTTCTTGTTTTAATGATGATGCTTATGACAATTAGAGCAAGAGAAAACCGGCCTTCTTTTGGATAAACGCAATGATGCCACTGTGCTCCGTGATCTTGGGAAGCCTTCTGGTTTTTCTAACCCATGCTGAAAAACATGGCGTTCTAGTAGTAAGCATCTCACTCTCTCCCCAGCATATATACAATATATATCACATAATAATTACTTTTTATTTAATTATTTTTGTATGATATGTTAATTAACTTAAATAGACCCTTTGTTTTTGCAGATTGGACACCTTAAAAAAGGGTTGAACCCGCCATCCGTGTCTGACTTGGCTTTCGGGTCGCCATATCTCTCGACAGCCATTAAAACTGGGATCGTCACTGGTGTCATCGGCCTTGCTGTAGGTTCCTGCGTTCCTCAGTATTTGCTTAGCACACAATGTATATAATGAAGGCTTTAGGCTAACATTGCTAGATTACTGATGGTGGACGTGCAGGAAGGAGTAGCTGTCGGAAGAAGTTTTGCTGCGTTTAAAAACTACCATATTGACGGTAACAAAGAAATGATCGCTTTCGGGATGATGAACATTGCAGGCTCTTGCACTTCTTGCTACTTGACCGCCGGTACATACCCTTTTCATGGCCATACCTAGCGTTCAATATATATGTAACGAGAAATGCGCTCTTTCTTGAATGAATGTCGGTTCATATTCAGTCTGACAATATGAGCATATGTCTGGCAACACAAATCTAGCAAGAGGGCATTGCTTTATACATAAGAGTCTTTAATCAAACACATGGATGAGTTATCTAGTAGTTTTTACCAGATTCACGAATCATATGCGTCTCTTATGGCTGCAATTACTTGCAGGACCATTTTCGCGAACTGCGGTGAACTTCAATGCAGGATGCAAAACTGCAGTCTCCAACATTGTAATGGCGACTGCAGTGATGTTCACACTCCTGTTTTTGACGCCATTGTTCCATTACACTCCACTTGTGGTGCTCTCCGCCATTATAATGGCTGCCATGCTTAGCCTCATCGATTATGAAGCCGTCATCCATCTCTGGAAAGTAGACAAGGTGGACTGCATTGTGTGCCTGGGTGCATACTTTGGCGTTGTCTTTGGCAGTGTTGAGATTGGCCTAGTCATTGCGGTAAGTAGGAGAGTACAGGAAGGGTTTTCTTTCTTGCGTCACAAGAAAGTTTTTCTTTTTACACATTTCTGGATGCATATGTAACGTTTATATGTATTTGCAGGTTGCAGTTTCACTGCTAAGGGTTCTGCTATTCGTGGCGAGGCCAAGGACTTTCGCCTTAGGCAACATTCCAAACTCGTCGATTTATAGAAGCATTGATCAGTACCCGGCTGCGAACAATATTCCAGGAGTTCTTATTCTTCAAATTGATGCACCAATCTACTTTGCTAATGCAAACTATTTAAGGGAAAGGTACATAAAATACTTAAGTTAGATACCGATATATGAAAACGACATAGCCAGCGAGGTAGAGTTTTAATCTATGCTCAAAATGTGGTTCACAGGATCTCAAGATGGATATACGAGGAGGAAGACAAGATAAAATCTTCTGGACAAACAAGCTTACACTATGTTATACTAGACATTGGCAGTAAGTGATCAATTTGCAACAGTCACAAGTTAACATGTACGATCTCTGGCTTTAAGCTTTATTACAAGTCTAATGCTAAAATTAAAATCAAATTACAGCGGTTGGAAGCATTGATACGAGCGGGATCACCATGCTTGAAGAGGTCCAGAAAAATGTTGATAGAAAGGGTCTCAAGGTATGAGATTATGGTAGACTAGTTCTGTTTGATATGGTTCACATTCTTGTTTGATCATGTGCTGATGTTTTATTCTTTCTTCTGATCTATCAGCTTGTACTAGCAAACCCCCGAAGCGAGGTGATCAAGAAGCTCGAGAAGTCCAAGTTCATCGAGAAAATCGGTCAGGAATGGATCTATCTTACAGTGGCAGAGGCTGTATCGGCATGTAACTTCACGCTACACACCTGCAAACCGAATCCAGGAGAAATAGACGGAAACAGACACGATGACAGCGTCTAATCTACGATGATCAATCAAATGAATGAAAGTTTTACGATATGTGTGGCAGTGGCTTTAACAAAAGAGAATCTCTATATATATCTAACATGATTGATCCCCAACATGGAGGGAGGAGGGTTTCCTAGCAGATGGGGACATAGCTAGGGTGCTTATAAGTACTAAGCTTATGTATTATTATTGCTACTATACACAAAATTAAGAGATTATGAAGAATACCGATGATGCTCAAGGCCAGGCTTCTATTTTAGTCAAGCCTGAAGGCCTTGTGTGCAGATCGTTTAAGGGTGTAATATTCCATTATCAATGAAGCGTAATATTCAGCATCCGAGGTAGTTTTACACTAACACCAACTTGACAGAGACACTTTACGACATTCCGGTTGTAAATCTCACGCAAGATAACACAGTAAATTGTAAGCTTCTCAACAACGACGGCAGTTCGCCAAGTTCAAGCCATACAATCTGGAGGGGAAACTAAAAATAACTATGAATAATCTGCTATTTGATCAATTGGCTAGCAATTAACAAATGCATTATATGAAGAAGACTTCGCTGTTACTCATCCAAGGAAATGAAGGTGTCACTGTCAAGCAATCTCAAGGTAATGCATAAAGAAGCGTCGTGACAAGTGCTCATGAATTATGCATCCATCAAGATATTTGAACAATGGTGTAACTCACATCAGAATAAAAGGACCATACATAGAGCATTCATACGGGGCAGTAAAGATGCACAAAAACCTATTCAACAGTTACATTGCTATTTGGACAATTACAAATAAACTTAGTTCTGCAGGACCTAATTTCAAGTTTTCGGTTTCACCACATAAGCAGCAGATACCCAACTTAATTCAAGGGCTAAACTACTCCTTACACTGGAAAAACAGGCTAACAACTTCACAGTAAGGGATCTCTCAGTAAAACGCAATCGCTCAAAACAAAAGGGCTTGAAAATTTAGAAAGAGACAAAACCTTGAGTAAATGCATGTTATGATTATGGAAAGCACCTTCCTGCAAATAACCAGGGCCAAAGGAAACCTTGCAAACTGAGTAAAGGCAAAAAACTGTCACCAGTGCTGTCGGTTCTTTAGAATACACAATCTCTCGCTATAATGGGCCTGAGACTTTGCTCCAACAAAATACAAATAAAGGAACTTATGAATCGGACTGTTTGAATAGGCGTGGAATCAATTCATGGGCACTGATATCTAAATCCTCCGGATCCCTGAAATAAACAGAGACATTAGATCACCTAGCTCCAAAACACTGCTATTGATGTGATCAATATTCTAACAGATAGGTTTTGTACAATAGGTTAGTTGGACGTTATTATAGTAAATATTAAGTGAGTAACCACATTGATGCTGCTTCCCTGAAATTTCCCTACAAGCATCCTAAAACTTTCGTAGATTAAAATTAAAAAAAAAACCCACTTCCCACTATTATTTTCACATCCATACGTTCAAGCTTTCCATTTCTTCATTCTCTTAAAAGCAAAAAGGACAATACTTCAAAGGGTTTGCACATTGAAGAAAGAAACTAACATTAGAACTCCAAGGTGGTAATAAAAGATAACCTAAAGCTTCAACTTAAAGGCGGTACAAAATGCAACCACCAAATATAACCTAAGTTCTGATGAAGCAGGTGACCGGTGATGGAACTTTAGACTTTGCAATACATTCTTGGTAATTTAAATAATAAAATTAAAAGTCATCCATAATTGAGTTCGTATTTAGTTACAAATTGGCACTTCCTCAGGAACACTGCGTGTGTGTGTGTGTGTGTGTGTGTGTGAGAGAGAGAGAGAGAGAGAGAGAGAGAGAGAGAAAGAGACCTGCACAATGTCTGGCCCAGTTCAATGGAACTAGAAATAAACCACAGCTTCCGCAGGAAAGGGGTCTCAAATTGCACAAAGAAGCCATCATGTTGCCCGTGTTTCCATTTCCTTGAACCTTGACCTTTCCAAACCTGCAAAAAGTATTTGATCATTGAAACCTCTTTGTTAACAACAAAAACCTTTTATTGAATCAGTCAATACTTCCCCCTAAATTTAAATCATCTGCGAATAAAAGTTGGATTTAGCAAATTGGAACCAGAGAAAGCTAGTGACATCTGAAACAGACCAATTAACTACTTTCTTTTTTCATGAGACATACCAATAAATGCTTAACCTTCCCAAAAACACTATGCAATCATCATGCACGAGTCTTTTAAGCACTTGAAGTCTTGAACCCATGTCAGAGGTCAAACCTCCAAAAAGTAATTAAAACACACTTCTAGTTTTGCGCACACACAAGTACACCGCACGCAAAGATACAGAGACTTAGGCACATGTAACATGCAAATGTGACATGACTTATGTTAACTGCTCATTAAAGTCCTTTTTTTATTTGAGAAGAAAATGCTATTAGTTCCTTAATTCTAACTAACTCAAGAAGGTAACGATCGAAAATGCATGACAGATACTCCATGGCACATTGCAAAAGCATCTATGAGAACCTTTTTCTTGGGCCTTGCAAGCACCCAAACTCAAATTGAAACATCCATACATGTGCGTGTTAATTGCCCACGTGCTTATCGTCTAAAGAAAGTTCTCCATCGTGTCACACGATGAACCTTAATAATTGTCTTCCTAACAGAATAAGAATAAGATTTATAGTTGTAAATACAAATGAAGTGAAATGTACCTGTGGATAAGACATGATACTTTTGGGAGTCACCAAGCAAGCTGCTTTGGAGAAAGAATCCTCAGCATACTGCCTAAGAAATGAAAAACAACTGCCATGTGTATGGGGCGATTCAAAAGCCTGGAATAACAGGCAAGCATTGATTAGTTAAACAAAAATGTCACCTGCTAGTACGGATAACAGTAGCAGAGAATGATGGCTCACAGCTCGGAAAGGATAAACTTAATGCAATAAATTGTTTTATTGGAACAGCGAAAAAGGGTTCATAGGACCAAAAATGCTGAAAAAAAACTTTTCAACCAATCACGAAAGGGATATTTTGAAAAAAAATGAAAACTCTAAACTTAATACCTTATCAATATTCACAGCTGGAGCATATTTCTCGGTGTCTGTTTCTTCCTTATCTAGGAGAAAGTAAACTCTAGCCTCCACTTTAGAAGTTTCATGCCATGATTTTACAGCTGACTCCATTGTCTCGACAAGGAAAGAAAACATTTCTTCCCAACATTCTTCAGATCCACGTTTCCCAGACTGCAAAGAGAAAGAGTAACTTAATTTTAGGACTGATTAAAACAATCCAAGGGCAGGTGATCTTAAGTCTTTTTATAAGCTTCTGGAACTCAACGTGTTAACCTTCAGGGCGATAAGAAAGCTTCTACCTATAATATATGAAAGTAGGCAAGTCGCACCATTCACACGAAGAAAGATAAAGCAGATTGAAACAAGACTAACATATATTAATGACTGAGCAATTATAATTATCACTCAAACACAAAGATAATAGAAGGTATCAAAATGAGAATAATAATGAACAACAGTGTTTTCTGAAGGTCACGAATCCTTGATAAATACACTCACCATTTCAGATTTCAGTTTATCTAAATGCCTCGCCATATCAACATTGGATCTCATTTTCTCCACCACTTCTGCACGTTTTTTATCTCTCACCAACTGAGAAATCCTTTTTATCTTTCTTGATACTTCTGTGCTTTGCGAGTTATATTCCAAAGCTGTTTGGAAAGCAACCAAAGCCTACAACATATGTTGAACAGAAGGATATCAGCAGCAGAAAACCAATATCATGTGGTCTAGTCCAGAAGGCCATAAAAATGGGAAGATTGAAAGAACTTCTAGACATACATCATCATATTGTTCCATGGCCTCTAATATGCAACCTTTCCTGAAATATCCCTGAAGATGCGTAAAAAAGATTCTTTAAAGGAATAAATAACAAAAATCAAGACTTCTGGTTTTCTAAAAGTACAAGCTTATTGAAGCAAAATAGAATTTAAGAAAAAATAAAATAAAACAACAGTACCTTCTCCCACTGGGGGTTCAATTTAATTGTTGTCTCTGCATCAGCAAGGGCTTTGCTAAGCTTAACCAATTGAAGAAATGCTGCAGCACGGTTGCTGGCCAACAATGGAACATTAAGAAGATGCATCAGTACAGCATGCAATGATTGTTAAACGAGAAAATTCAGCCAAGACCGTGTATCCTTGGAAATTTTAATTTTTCATTACTACTATGCTACTTCATATGGAAAACTTCAACGTTTTCATTAACATCCTTTAAACACCTTTAAACAGCAGAAACAATCCTAGTTATAAAGAAAATAATGAAGATATACATAAAGAAAGTTGACCAATTATCATTCAATAATTATGAAACAGCAGGCACCTGACCTATTCAGAAACCATTCCTAGCTTATCTAAGCTCTCTCTAACATCTTTCACAGATCAGCCCTTTGTTTTAACAAATGGTATAAACACTATGCATGTGGTAGCACTTGAAGCAGGAACAATTCATAGTAGACCCTAAGACCAACCATAGCATTGGACATAACAGAGCAGGTTTGCTTTTCATATTTACTTGGAAATAAAAAGGGCATAGTCACAAATGTGGTATCAAAGTATTTTGCTGCAATGAGGTTTTGTTTTGACAATTATATCCCCTTTTTCTTCCTAATGGCCTTGCTTTCTTCTATAAATTCCAAATTTCATAAGATCTCAAAATACTTTTCCGCATAAATAAGTGAAATGTTAACCGAAACATTAGCTTCTTTAACGAAACAATCCAGAATTTTTTAACGGCGCCCAAGATAGGTTACATGAGGTTCATCTCAGCTTATATCACTCAAAAAATTTCATCTACCATAATGGTTATGCAGATATTTTTCGGTAACAAATTCTATACATCTTGTCTACGAAAGTGCCTGAATTTTTACTACTAACATACGAAAGGAATTCCTTTGCATCTGAATACCATAACTTCTGTTAATCAAAATAACGAACAACAAACTAGTATATCAACCCCGAACCTCATGTAACTTTGGAGTTCATACAAATTACAAAATGTTGGGGGAGTTCAAAGGGGCAAACATAAACAACATGAACAATAGAAATTCATCTGATTTTCTACATAAACAAAGCACACAACTTCAAATTCCTAGAATTATTAAAATCATTCCACTACCAAAAATATTCAACAAAAACCCATGTGAAGAAGTCAAGTAACTACATAACCAACCAATCAAAATTGCATTTTGATTATTACATATCAAATTGAAAACTACAAAATCCCAACAAAAAAAATTATTAAAAAAAAAGAAGGAAATTTGAGGTGGTTAATGTACCTATAGAGAGTGGGGTTATTAGGGTCTTGCTTGATGGCCTGAGTGTAGAGTGCAGCGGCTTTGAGGTAGTTCCCCGCTTTGAACTGCTCATTTCCTTTATCTTTCAGAGACTCAGCTCCTCCACCTCCTGCCGATGCGCCCACCCTACCTGATCCTCCCCCCTCTGCTGCCGCCATTCCTCACTAGGGTTTATGATTCACTGCAAGCAAATCTCCTGTCTCCTGCCCCCGCTTTCTCTGATACAACCCCAGAACCGCGATTCCGAGCGATGGTTTCACAACTTTCACTTCCACCTGGACTTCAAAAGTGAAAATGGGTAGGGCTGCTTTGTCCGACTTGGGTTTAAACCCATTTATGTCTAATTGGGTCCAATGGATTTTGGAGTTAAAAGGGCTCGGCCCAAATATATTATACTTTCGGAGTGGTTGTCTGACCCAAGTTTCGTCTCTAAACACCCATCAATTTTACTCAAAATAAAAAAACACTTATTTCCATACATAAAATTATCATAAAGAACTTGGTGATTTTTTAAGGAAAACAATTTTTTTTTCTTTGGTAGGGTTTGATATAAACAACGTGGTAACCATGCAGCCACATGTAATCTGTAGAACAAAGACTGACATCAACAGAAATTGCTAAATTAAATTATGTAGTGTCGTGTCCATAATATTGTATGTACACTACACTAAGTATATACACTTTTTTGTTTTTTTTTGCAGCCACACTTTGTAGTTGGAGTAGAAGTCGAACCCTATAAACAAACCCCGAATTTAGCACTCAGATTTTGGGCCTATTCACTCTTGAATGTATTTTGTTTCCAATCTCATAAAAATTCTTTTCAGCGTGAGCAGGTTGAAATTCTCTATAGCCTCTCCAAGTCCGAATGAGTGAATAACTGTGATTGGTAACTATTAGTCCATTTTTTCAGAGAAGGAAAAATAAAAATTCTTTTGAGATGTGCCAAATTAGGGTTTTAGTCTTGGGCTTTTTCTAAAAAGGTCCAGACTTGAGAGCCCACGTGTTATATATGAAAATAACTTGGGCCGAGCATAACCTGAGCCCATCTCAGCAAAGGCAAGATCTATCGCATTTATATAAACAGAGTGAGTGTTAGGGTTTTGTGCTTCACAAAGACAAGGGTTTGCTCTCTCGGCCGCTTTTAGCCTCACCCTTCATCTCTCTGCAGAGCTCTCGAGCTCCTCTAAGTTTTCAGCCATGGCCGTCGGGTACTCTCTCTCTCTCTCTCTCGCTCTCTCTACACACACACTAACATATTTCAGCACATGGATTTCTCGATCAGTGACTGACACATTGACCTTTGTATTATGCAGCAAGAACAAGAGGATTTCCAAGTCGAAGAAAGGAGGAAAGAAGAAAGCGTAAGCTTATTTTTTTACATATATACATACACACTGATTTACATAGATCTGGGTTTGTTTTAGTTTTGTTCTTATTTGTCATTTCGTATGATTTGTTAATTATGTGATAACCCCACTTATTTACTAATTAATTTGTATTTGTGGAACGAAAATATAGGGTTGATCCGTTTGCCAAGAAGGATTGGTATGACATCAAGGCCCCGAAACTGTTCAACAACACGAATGTGGGCAAAACTCTTGTCTCCCGTACTCAGGGTACCAAGGTATTGATGTCATCTATCAATCTTTGTTTTTTCTTTCCGTTTTAGATTTAGTTTTTTGGAATACCATATTAAGTAGGGTGAAAGGTATTGTGGAATCAGTTTATTTTGCTTTTCTTTCCACGAAATGGATTAGCGGGTGGGGGTTTTTATTAGACTGCTGTTATTGTTGATTTATGCATTTGTTGTGTCCTTATGGATTGCAAATGTTTTGAAATTATCGTGTTTAAGTACGGCACGATTTTCTGTCTTCTGGAAGGCTGGTATTTAGAGTGGTGTTTTTGTGCTTGCAGTATTAAATGGTATTTAGAGTGGTGTTTTGAAATTATCGTGTTTAAGTACGGCACGATTTGGGAAATGGTTTCTGCATACCGGGTTCTCCTTCTGCACTATGTTTATTTTTATCCAAATGCCATAAATAAACTTGAGTGCGGAGGGGTAGAGCAGAGAGGTTACGTGCTAATGTTAATGTCGAGTAGAATGACTGTTACACCTGTTACAATTTTCTTTATCTATTTAGAAATTTTCATTGCATCAGTAATTATTATACAAAACTTTCAAAATGTATACATCGCTTTTTGGAAAAAATTGTTTAGCAATTTTTTTTCCCCACATGATAACACACTTTGTATATATTTAAATTGTTGAAAGTGCATGCTTTTAACAAGTTTTTCGGTTTTAACAGATTGCTTCAGAAGGACTCAAGCATAGAGTCTTTGAGGTATCACTCGCTGACCTTCAGGGTGATGAGGAGCATGCTTACAGAAAGATGCGGTTGAGAGCTGAAGATGTCCAAGGGAAGACTGTTCTTACTAATTTCTGGGTATGCTTGAATAATTTACGTTCATATATTTTTTGGTATCTTTTGTATGATTTCTTATGAACCCGAGCTCATGTATTATTGAATTCTTCAGGGAATGAACTTCACCACTGACAAGCTTAGGTCTTTGGTGCGCAAATGGCAAACCTTGATTGAAGCTCATGTGGATGTGAAGACCACCGACAACTATACTCTAAGGATGTTCTGCATTGGCTTCACCAAGAGACGTCCAAATCAGGTCAAGAGGACCTGCTATGCACAGTCTAGCCAAGTCAGACAGGTAATGTATACCTTAATATGGAAATTCTCCCCTGCACTTTTTTCCTAACGAGTGGACGGAGTTAAACCCCAACCGTTTGCACTTGAAAAAAAAAGGTGTGGGTGAGCAAAGCTCTGCCTTAATAATTTGCATGATGTAATTGAATTTATCATGAATTTTGTCTATGTACTTATGCATGGTAGTGTTTGTTTCTGACGCCATAATGCTACATTTATTGTCAGATTCGCCGTAAGATGAGTGAGATCATGATTGCCCAGGCAACATCAAGTGATCTTAAGGGCTTGGTCAACAAGTTCATTGCTGAGAGTATTGGTAAAGAGATTGAGAAGGCAACAATGAGCATCTATCCATTGCAAAATGTCTTCATCAGGAAGGTGAAGATCTTGAAGGCACCCAAGTTTGATCTCACCAAGCTCATGGAGGTATACCCTTTTTGCTCTTGGAAATCTATTTTTTTATTCTTTCTATTTGAAATATTAGATATAGTAAATGATGAACCGTGGTCATAGTACTTCCGAGAGTCCTTGGCCTTATTTATCATCTACGTATTTCATTTGAGGGTTTGGCATCAGAATTTTTTGGTGCTATTTACTCCTTATCATTTGCATGCTTTCATCATGATTAGTAGCATATCTGCATCATGATGCAAATTGTGCGCATAGTTCTTCATACTGCGGCCGTAAGCTAAACTTTAGTGAAATGGATTTTGTATAACTAGGTTTATGGTGGCGAAGATGTTGGTGTGAAGGTTGAGAGGCCCACCGAAGAAGCAGCGCCTGAGGTGCAGCAAGAAATTGTTGGTGCTTAAGTGCTGTCTCTGTTATTTCCTTTTAAGTAGTATTGTTCAATTTATGTTGTGAACTTAAAGAGACCATATTACTTGGTGCATGTTTTGTTCTAGCTTTTTGAGAAGATGAAAGTTGCTTGATCGAAATTTTGTGCTTTTAATCTAAATACTAAATTTTGAGAAGATGATTGAGTCTTGCTTTATACATCCTACAATTCTATTATTCCTCATACGGTATCAACTTCTGTGGTTGTACAAGTGCCATATTATACACATTTGGACTGAACTTGGACCGTCTGAGGTGCCGCGGCGATGCCTGTTGTACCCCTCAGCTCGAAGTTTTGGCGGTTTTCCGGGACATCGCTTCCATAGCAGTTGCAATTAGTGGTGCAAATTGGATTGGAAACTGGTGCAAGAGAAATTTGATTGGACAAATAGAGAAAATTGTAGCAATGATTCCTTAATTTTAATTCAATTGGAGCAATGATTCTTCAACTTTATTTCCTTAACCATTGGTCTTTTAATTAATCAAAATGTGCAGTTATGGTTCTTTTTGTTAACATCGTCAATAGTTTGGTTAAATTCAATCACGTGCGTCGTATAGGAGACTGATTGTAGGGGCAATTAGGGAAACATAATATTTCTTGTGGACTGATTGTAGGGGCAATTAGGGAAACATAATATTTCTTGTGGGTTGAATTCTATCGAACTCATAACCCATCCCCAATTGAAACTTCCTCCCATCCCCAATTAAAACTTCCTCCATGCCCAGCCTCACGTTCCTCAAATTCCCACCATGTATTGCAATAATCAGCCTTTATTGAAGGAAGATAATAGCATAAACCAACCAGTTTTGTGCAAAATATTGGTGAATTCGAAGCAGGTATGACAATGTGGTATGGAAGAGCTTTACTGCACTGGTATGGAGGAGAAGGCATGGAGGAGCAAGCAGTTCACTTAACCTTAGAAGAAAATGGACGATTTGGAAGCCAATGCCGATGAGGAGAAGACATATGGTAACATCAACTAATCGAGGCCTTCTTGGTCCATGAACATCAAAAAACAAGCACCAATATCGTCTATTTCAAAGCCTCCATGATCTTCCCATCTTTGCTGAAGCTTGTGTCCTAGAACTTTGACCTACAGATCCATGTAAATCTCGTCTTGCTTGGTTTCCCATCTCCTTGTATTGACTTCAACCCACGGGAAACAATGTTTCCTTAATTACCCCTACAATTCGTTTTATGTGCCACGCACGTGATTGCATTTAGCATAATTACTGACGGTGTTAACTAAAATGACGATAGACGCACATTTTGACGAGTTGAGAGACCATTGCTCTAATTGGATTAAGTTGATCCCTCTCTGGCACTGGCAGTTCCGAAATCCGATCAATATCCAACTCTATCCATTTTGCGACTTATCGGAAGCATACATTCAACGCATCCAGGCATTCCGAAAGTTACTGAAGCATCGTAAGTTAAAAACAAGAAGAAAATAAGTGGCTTGTTTTGAATGGTTAATGGGAGGTGATAATACGAAGGAAGCAGCTCATTTTGATTAGATGAAGCCTATTTTACACGGAAACTGAGGTAATACACTTGTGTTTTCGCTAACTAATCCGATAAATGATTCGCTAAACACAACATTAGGATCATTTAACGAAATAAAACATGCTTCCCTCTCGAGTGATTATTGCCTCAATCTCCATTGGTGGAGGGTCTCATGCAGCCACACACACAACCCTTCCTCCGCCTCTCGCCGCTTCTGCCGCTGTAAATAAAATCCCTCAGGAGAACGCCTGTTCTGCTCACGTAAAATCCGTGCCTCCCCTTCTTTTTATTCTCATCCTCCAGTTTGAGCAAAATGTAGTGAATGTTCTGCAACTCAAACTGCAGCCTTCCGATCTTCTCTGACCCTTTACTTGCCTCTTCGACTACTCTCTCTCTGCGGACATTTCCAGCCTCCTCCAACTCTATGGAAGTCTGCTCGTCCAAAGACGGAGACTCCTCAATCTTCTTTTTCAGTTGACCATTAGTTTCCACTAGCTGCACAACAGCACACTCAACTTCAAGTAAGTGTCTTTTGACTGTTTCATATTCAATGCCGTTGGCCCTTTTGCCCTTCTTGCTTGTCTCCATCTTCTTATCCAAATCCCGAGCAATTGTCTGCAGACTCGTCAGCTTCTGGGCATCAGAGGCCAGTCTCTCCAAGATTTTTTCCTTCTTGCCTTCATGACGTGGCCTTCGAAGGGACGCTTCCAGCTTCTCAATTCCCCACTCCTTCTCAGCCTCAACTTCTGAAGAAAAATTCTGAATCATCTGCTCAGAATCTGTAAACCGATGGCTGGGGGTAACATCTTCCATGCGTGCAGATGCCTGATTTTCTTTCTCACTGGCAACCGGATCCTGGTGACAGTATTGTTCGGCAGTCTCCCATAACTCAAGCATCTGATCATCAGCCCCACCAGTACCTCTCCAGCTTCTTCCATACGATGATAAATCAGAAACATGATCAAGCGGAATGTCTTTCATCAAAGTCCCATTAGCAGATTTTGTCTTCTGCAACTTGCGATTTTCAACAGTGAACTCCTTCCCAAGTTTCACCTCTTCACATTTACTGCCTTTTTCTTTAAGTAAGGTACCTTTTGATTGTAACTCTTCAATCTCCACAGACGAGTTGCTGGTTTTTGTACTTTGCTGAGTTGAAAGGCTTTCAATTTCTTCCACCATTGCCTTTTCAAAGGCTTCCATCACAAGCCTTTCCGTCTCTTCCACAAACGTCTTTTCAACTTCTTTTATCATAGTTTGCACTTCTGCCAATTCTGAAATTCCGTCGGGTACCAATGGGCTTTGATCTTCAGTGGAATCTTGACAGTTCTTTTCATATAGATGATTTGGCGGTTTCACATCCTAGACGCACGAACATGCTAATTAGTGGAAAGAAAAAGAGCAGAAGCTAGCAATGGTGATAGCTAGAGTGGTCCAATAAGACACAAACATGGTAATTAAGTATCAAGTTTTAACATTAAACTTCAATTATCCACACAAGCCAAGTTGCAAACCTCTGATCTACATCTGCTTCTGTTAGGAAGGTCTTCACTAGAACAAGAATGTTTTACGTTTAGCGTTAAATTTCAGTTATAAACAGGACACTTAGGATTAGAATTAAATCGAACTTTCATGTGTACTTATGATAGCAGTTAATAAATACACATTCTCTCCATGCCAATAAGGCCAGAAACACAGACAGACACTTCTACGTTATTGAAAACTCGGGGTAAGGCTGTCAAAACCAAAAATGAGTCGACTCTACCTAGCTCAGACTTAATTGCTGAATCATCACTATCATCAATGTTTCTAAAGAGAGAAAATATTACCTTATCTTGTTGATTTCTTGCTACAAGAAGCTTCGATCTAAGTACGGCATTGTGCTGAAGAGATGCTACATTCTCTCTCAATGAGGCTACGGCAGGAACGTATGCAGACAACTGGCCGATCAGTCCTCCAACTTCACCTTCCAAAGAGCTAACTCTTTCTTTCATTTGTTCTACCTCCAAAGATTTCGCAGCACTTTCATCTTTAAGACTCTCACAAACATCAGTGAGCTCATGAACCGTATTTTCAAGAAAAGCTTCACGGAGAGCAGAAACTTGAAGATCAAAATAGAATGTCGCAGCCTCAGCCTCCCAGAGTTCAAAGTCATTGCTTCTCTCTTGCAGCTCGGAACTCAAATACTCCTCTCTTGTTCTATGTTCTTCAATTACTTCACTTAAGATACCCACTTCATTCGCCAGGGTTTCATTTGCTTCACGAAGGCTCTCGATTTCATCCTTCTGATTTGAGTTATCATTGGATAGTTCTAGAATCTGCTTCTCACAATTCTCCCTAAGTCGATTTGAATCTTCATGTTCCATCCTCATTTCCTGAACAGTTCTGCATAATTCCACATTCAAGTTCTCAGCCTTTCTAAGCTTCTCTTCTACTTCTGAGAGCTCCATGGTTTTCTGCTTCAGAGAATCCTTTCCAGCTAAAATTTGATGGCTCAGCTGATCTTTCGAGTCCTTGGCTTCATGCAGTTCCTTGTGCAACAATCGAACTGTCTCATTCAGATGTAGATTTTCTACTTCTTTTTCAATTCCGTTACATAAGATTTGGTTCTTCAGAATTTCATTTGCCTCACAAAGGCTTTTGATTTCCTTTTTCTGATTTGTGCTATCTTCAGATAGTTCAAAAATCTCCTTCTCACAATTTTCTCGCACTAGATTTGATTCTTCAATTTCCATCTTCAGTTCCTGAACTGTTCTGCACAATTCCACATTCAAATCTTCCATCCTTTTAAGCTTCTCTTCTGCCTCCGAGAGCTCCAAGGTTTTCTGTTTCAGAGAATCGTTTCCAACTAAAACTTGACGGCTTAGTTCACCATTTAAGTCCTTGGCTTCACACAGTTCCTTGTCCAACAATTGGACCGTCTCATTCAGATGCAGGTTTTCTACTTCTTTCATCACTAAATTCTCCCCCAATGTTCCAACAGCCTCTTTGAGGTCGTTATTAATTACAAATTGACTGTTGAGATCTTTAGCAAGTGATTTTAGTTCCGCAGCTTTCTCAATTGTGAAGCTCTCTAAAACCAACGAGAGGGTGCTGAAGGCTAGTGCTTCGTGGAAATTAACACTATTATCCTCTTCAAGCATTTTCTTTTCCTCTTTGAGGGCCATAAGTTCCTTAAGCAAAGATCTCTTCTCTTCAAGCACCTTGGAATTTTCTTCCTGCAGAACCACATAAGCATCCTCCAAATTTGTCAGCTTAGGTTGAAGAGTTAACAATTCAGCCTCTAATATTTCCTGCTTTTGCTCTTTCCCCGTCACTTCCAATCTCAACTCCCTTGTCATCTCTAGAAGGTCATGCTTCTCATTTTGTAGTGTAGAACAATGGTTTATCACGATCTCATACTCCTGCTCAAAGAATTGTTTTTCCGTCTCTACCTCTGCACCCTCTGATCTCAACTGCCCAAGTACAGTTAAGAGCACTGACTTCTCAACAAGCAACTGCTGTTCCTCATCCTTGCTCCGTAACAAAGAAGTTTTCAAGTCCTTGATATTATTCAAAATGTGCAGCACATTTACTTTCCCTGGTTCAGTCTTATCGTCCTGCCTATCTGGTTCAATCTGTAGAGCCCTGAGG